TTAATGATATATTAAATTGAGATAAACGATATTGCGTAAAAATGTCTTTATTACTTCATGAAATGTAATAAATAATGACCTCCATAATTCTTCATGTAACTCCTCATTAAGTTTTTTCGTTCTGTAATGACTTGTTGCAGACGGAATTTACAATTAGTTTATTTTATTTTTTAACAACAACATAACATGAAGTTAATTAAGAAAAAAAATAAATAAATGTTACAATGGTATACAACAAGTTCGATGAGCTGTGTGAATAACAACTCGTATTTAATCACAGTTGAAATGACTTTGACAAGGTAAGCACACGCAAATTAACAGATCAACGTCTATTATCTGTAATATGTGAAAGTATGTCAGTTGCTATTTTTTATTAATTGGTATTTTTATGCTAGTGATCAAAAGTACTATTATTTTTATGTTAAGTCGTTATTGGATACTTTATTCAAAATAATTGCATGGAAAAAACACTAAAAAAACATTTCAATGTATGTGAATAGATATACACCATATTTTCTTGAAAATTGAGTTCTCATCAGATTTTTACGTTTTGAGGTCCTAGGAAACTATTCTTACTATTCTTACGATGACAGTGTGTGTGTGTGTGTGTGTGTGTGTGTGTGTGTGTGTGTGTGTGTGTGTGTGTGTGTGTGTGTGTGTGTGTGTGTGTGTGTGTGTGTGTGTGTGTGTGTGTGTGTCTGCTTGTGTGTGTAAATCTCTCATAAGTTTAGAACGATTTGACCAAGTTGAACGGTATTGACGTCATTCGATAGGGCTTAGCAAAACAGACTTCTTTGTAAATTTGAATCTATTCGGTACGATAGATTTTGAGAAAGTCTAAAAGAATCGAAAAAAGAAAGTTTGTGAAGTCATGTTTGTTCAAAATAACTTTTGATCTGCATTGATCAATTCCATAACACAATCAGACCTTAAGTTTAAAAAATAACGTCGAATGCTTAAAAAAAAACCAAAATCGATTAATTCGTTCGTGAGATATTGTCGAAAAAAAATGTCTTCACAAGACTTTGAAATTTCTTGTCGGATCAATTTTTGAATAATAAGTAGTTTAATTTCGTTAAAAAATCGACATTGAATATCGCAAACCGCATCGAAAGCATTCAATTCTTTATAGAGATGTCGCAATGCAAAGTATTTAAGGGGGTATTCTGGTTTAGAAATTCCAAAAAATCGATTTTTTTTGTATATTTTGCTAGTATAACCTTATAAGAATACGTCCTTAAAAGAATTTTTCGGAATTTAAATTATTTTCGGAGTTACATCTAATTAAGTTTAAACGACTCCAACTGCGCGCGACTTGTCCTCAAACTTAGAACGCGTTTTTCTCGGAATTACTTTTTTAAAAACGGTGTGCATGATATCTCAAGTTCTACTTAACCGATTTACTTGAAATTTTACACAGAGTTTCGTCATACATTCTGGTATCGCACTTCGTTTTTTTAAAAAAAAAAAAATTTTTTTTATATTTTTAAAAAATTCCGAAAGCTAGAAAAACAGGGGAAAAAACAAAACATATTTTTCAAACCACCGCCATTTTGTGAAAAGAATTTTTTTTTTAAAAACAAAACGTATTGCGATAACTACATCCTTCCTCTTTAAGGATTATTAATTATTTTCCATTTCCGGTCACTGGAAGGATTGATATCCTGCACACCAGGATGTGCCATTTTTTCGCCAGTCCCAACTTTGCCGGTCTGCAGTTTTCGGAAATTTGATTTTTTTTTTAATTTTATTAATATTTTGTACTCTTCAAATACCAATAAAAAACTGATAAGAAAATGTATAGTAAAAATATTTGTTGTTTTTTTTCTATCGCGACCGAAAAAACACCTAAAATTCGGGCTTTTAGAATAATTAACTTCTATCAGCTCAAAAACATCGTAAGTGCAATTTTAAGCGCTTAAATATGGAATTAGCGGGAAGTTGCAGGGATGGCCTTTAGCGCCAACCGTTTTTCTAACTTTTTGATTTAACTAAGTTTAAATTTGTTTAAAAATTCAAGAAAATATAAGCTATCTCCTAATTTATCATTTATTTATAATTATAAATTATAAAATTAATTTATTAATCCACATGATAAATAAATCTATATCAATCAATAAACTAATTTATTACTTTGTAAAACAAAAGTTTTTGAATGAGCATTGGTTTTGAGTTCTGATATATTGCACTTTAATATAAAAGATTTTTCTATATAAATTCAATATTCAACTATATTTTTTATTTTTAATGACTATTTATATTACAATCTTCGAATTAAATAATGTTTCATTAAGGTTATATTGATAAATTTTCACTGGGTGGTCATCAGTGAATTCATAATAAACAAAACAAATATTTTGGAGGTTATAAAATGTGTCAACACACAAGATTGTGCGAAATCAGAGATTACAACGGGGCGTTTAGCTCTTACAGCGATCTTGTATGGCCATCCCGGCGATCCAGTATAGCTATTTTAGCCATCTAACGTATTGCTGTCAGAGCCAGTAACAATCAAACAGATGGTTAAGTGGGGTTAGCTACTATAGCAATACATTATTACTCTAAGAGCGATATTTTTTTTCACTGAGTACCAAAGAAGTGCTTGAAAAAAAATAAAAAAATTAGGAAAACGGTTGACCCTATGGGCCATCCCTGCAACTACCCGCTAATTTCATACCTACCCGCATGGAGAAATATATATGTCAAAAATATATGTCGCATATATAATATATATGCCGCATATATAATATATATGCCGCATATATTTACTTATATTTTTCACATAGATGCTGACATATATGCAGAGATACATGCTTACATATATGTAGACATATATGTAAGCATACACTCAAAAAAAAATTTCTAAGTTTGAGAATTTTTTTACTCAAATCAAGAAAGTTAAATTTTGAAAAATTTAACTTTCTCGATTCAAGTTAAGTTTTTTTCCGTGTATCTCTAGACACTTATATGCGAACATATATTTAGCGCAAAAAAAATATATGTGAAAATATATAATTACATATATTTTTCGCATATATATTTTTCCATGCGGGAAACTTTTGAACCATATGTATTTTCTGAATCAGCTCGACAAACTGAGTCAGAAAATAGCAAAATTTTTTGAAAGTTCCGCCATGAGGACAAATTATTCGTGTTATGATTGGTCGAAAATAAATATTCTCATTCTGATTGGTTGAAAGTGAATATACTATACATAAACGACACATAAATATACCATGATAATAAATATGAGGCGCGCGCTTGCGCGCGAAAATTAAATTCTAGTCTACTCTTATAATTTAGATGAAAAATATGAAAATATATCATGTAAGCAAACTATTGTCGTAACGTGATTGGTCAAATATATCATAAGCATGAAAATATAGATAATTCCACACCAACATTCACACGCGCGCTTGCGCGCGCAACGTATGCTAGTCCTAATATAAAATTGAGATGAAATGTATGTGGCATCAAACTATTCGTAACGTGATTGGTCGAATATATCATAAGCATGAAAATATATGCAAACTCTATAGTCAAAGCGCGCGCTTGCGCGCGTAAATTCAAATTCTAGTTCTTTAAATTTTCAAACTGCAATTACGTTTGAATGAATAAACCGATTTTCACGTGGTTGACAATATTCGACGCAGTTTTTCGAATCCTATGATTTACTTTTAAACATAAATTAATCAGACCAAAAATTCCGGAGTAATTCGAAAAAATCACTTTTTTTCGATTTTTTTCGTCAACGATAACTCACGAACGAATAAATCCATTTTGACCGACCCGGCGGCGATCGACGTGGTTTTTGATGTTAAGAGCTGACTAGTTTCTGGTATTGATCAGTAAAGCCGTTTGATAGTTATTCTAAAAAAAAACACATTTAACAAAAATTTTTTTTCGTAGTTTTTTTGAGATTTCTCAAAATTTACCAGTCCGAATCGGTCTAAATTGTATTCAAATTCTAAGTTTGGTTGTCTTTTCGAATGGCGCCAACCGCAACCAAATTGGTCGAGCCGTTCAAAAGTTATAAGAGGTTTACACACACACACACACACACACATTCATGCAGACGTACGGACACCATCGCGGGAATAGTCAGGGAAGCTGCCTAAGACCGTAAAACGTCGAGATCTGATAAAAACTTTATTTTCGAAAAACGGGGTAAAACCAATAACTACCCGATTTTTGAAAATTTTAAATTTTCTTCGCGGGAAGTTAAAAAAAACTCAAATCTCTATCTCTTCATTGGCCGTCAAAAAAATGCTTATAATAGAAGAAGTCACACGGGAGAACCCTCTTAATTGCTATCATTTTAAAGTTTCATATCGACAAAAAATTAGATTAAATCAATAGAAGACAACGCATACAAGAATGGAAATTGGTATTGACAGTAATTAATCGAGAAAAAGAAAATTTCCGAATTTCTAAAAATTGAACAAAGCAGTTATTATGGAGAGCTTAGTATCAACCGAGGCTCAAAAGTTATTGAAAAGATAGTATTTGGATACTTTGATCAGATTTTAATTTTAAGATTCAACTATCACATATAAGAAAAAGTTGGAATAATTTTTTGTATTTTTCTTAAAAGTAACATGAAAAAACAAAGAATTTCAAAACAAAATTTTTTCAAACCGTCTGATTTAGCGTGGGATGTCTCATATATAAATTTTTTAACCACAATGTTATTTTTTAACTATATACTCAGTTATTTAATAAATACCTATATATTATAACGAACTATTATATAAATTCCGAGATAAAAATCAATTCAATGGATGGATTTTAATTAAACCTACCTAAATATCGTTTTTTTTTATTAATTATAATATTTAATTACTCATAAATCTTATTAATTTCAATAATTAAAATGGATCCATTAATTGATATCTACTCATTAATAAAGATATCTCACGTCTATAATGATGACTATATGTTTTGTATTCTCGTTTTTCTGACATAAGCTATCGTTTTATTTAGCATTATTTATAAAAAGCCAGCATTTGTTTTTCACGATAGAAATAAAAACAAGTAGAGGGGTCGGGCTCGAGTGCCCCCTCTTTCTTTCGGAAAATTCACAAATTACCCAGCATCTTAGATTCAATAATAATTTCAATACTCGCTCTCTTATTAGTCATGTGTATTCGAGACAGTCGTAACGTTACCTTCCACCAGTGAACATCTCATGCCTGAAATTTTTAATGAATCACTTTAAATTATAAATCGGCATACAAAGTTTTAACACTTCACGGTCTCGTAATTATTAAATAATGAATATCCAATTAGTGACGGCAGTATTTTACTGTACCATTTATTTAAACGGATTTTTTTCGGTTGCTTCGCCGATAGTTAAAGTTAAAAATGGCACTTTAGAGGGTTCATTGATGAAAACACGTCGTGGTCGGGAGTTTTTGTCGTTTAGAGGTATCCCCTACGCACTTCCGCCGATCGGTGATTTAAGATTTGAGGTAAAAAAAAAAAAAAAAAAAAAAAAACCGTGTATATTTTTTTCGCAATAGACAATTACACTGTATGCATAATAAATCACTTATGTAACACTTTTATCTGAATTATAATCTGAGATGCGTCAGTCTCAATATAGATTTAAGCTTATTATATATCACTTTTATGCTGTATTGATGAATTAGCATTAAAGTTTCATTATTAAAGTCATACTTTCCACTTAGGTAGACACAACTTTCTATTCGTACTCTCGCAAATATGTTTCAATGCTCATAATTTAAATCCAATCAACAGTTGATAAATAAAATTTGCAATATCGATTATTCCTTTCATTGTATTACTAATTTTAAAGTATAAAAATAACCGACAATTTTCAAAGTAATGGACCTAATAGAAATTAATAATTGGGATAATGTTAAATAATGAAAGTTAATATTGATAAATAATTATTATCTCATACAGCCACCAAAGCCAACAACTACTTGGTCAGGCGTTAAATCAGCCAAAAAAGATGCGCCAATATGCACTCAACGAAATATTTACACTCACGATGATAATATTGTCGGGCAAGAAGATTGCCTTTACTTAAACGTTTATACTCCTAAGCTACCCACCAAAGAGATGAAAGAGGTCGGTATTAATTATCCAGTCATGATATGGTTCCATGGAGGCGGATGGGTTACGGGAGCTGGCCATTCTGACTTTTACAATCCCAAATATTTTCTCGATCATGAGGTTGTTCTTGTAACTGTTAATTTCAGGTAATATTTGTTTATCGATATTGCTACTACTGATGTGTATAATTATTTGTTTCATGTTTATTAGGTTGGGACCTTTAGGTTTCCTGAGTACAGAAGATATGGTATCACCTGGTAATCAAGGAATGAAAGATCAAGCTCAGTCGATTCGTTGGGTCAATGAGAATATTGCTTCATTCGGTGGAGACCCTAATCGAGTTACTGTTTTTGGAGAATCTGCAGGAGGAGCTAGTACTCACTATCACATGATTAGTCCTTTATCCCGAGGTAAATATGTGTAGTTTTAGAAATTTTCCAAAAAAATTATCAATCACTCTTTTGAAAAAAAGTTATTAAACTGTTAAATATTTAATGTAAAAGTATTCGACGAAAATTTTTTTTTACGCAATGACGAAATTTTACTATGTAAAAATTTGTTGAGTATTTAAATATTATTTTCTTGTTCCCGTTCATTAACTTAGTTTCCAGATTATCAAAGCTTATTGATGATAGTTTTATGATTAGTAATATACTGACATTAATTTCCTTATAAGTGATACAATTAACATAAACTGCTTCGAGTTAACTGGTATGCTTATTATGTTAATGTATTTAATGAACTTATTTTCAATTGCTATTAAAATTTAATGAAATATATCATAGGTAATTTTTAAAAGTTGAAAAAATACTTCGTATTTATTAATCAACCTTACAGTAAAATTATGATGTGATATTTCATTGAAATAAAAATTATTTTCGTCATTTCTGTTCGACTGATATGAATAAAAAACAATATTTAATTCTTAATATAACTAAAGCTTAATAACTCTAATGACTTGGACTTGAATTTATATAAAATGATTTTAATTAGATCGTTGAGAAAGTGACTAAATGTACGGTATGCTTGAAGATACAAAAGTTAAGAGATCCTTTCGTCACCAATGGAAAATAAAATTTATTAGATTATGATGAAAATAAATTTTTTTATCATACTGTCAATCATTACCTATGCTACCGTGGAATTTACATCGTATTTTACCGTGCACATTTAAAAAAAAAAAAAAATTCAAAAGTTTACGAATTTTGTCAAAATCTTATGTAAAATTTAGGTATTGACACTTTTCTTTGAATTATATTATAGTTTATTGATTAGATGAGTTTTAAAAAAAATTTTAACTAGCTTTTGCAAGCATGCAGATTTCATGTTTTACCATAAAACATATTATTTGCCGTGAAATTTTTTGAGATATAAGCTTTAAAAAATTGTATAAAATTTTAGTCACTGACAAGTAACTATCAGCTGATCAAAATGAGTCAAATCAATTTTTTAATTAAATTTAAAAAAATTTTTCCGCAACTTCACGGTATAAATGCTTGCAGGCAATTTAATTGGAGCGAAAAGATCTCTTTAAAAGGCGATATTATTACGCTCGAGCAAAAAATCGGCTTTTCTGTCCACCGTACTGTTAAATATCTACAATTTTAATAAACCATTTATAAATGGTAATTTTTAAAAGATTCAATGTTATACACAACATAACAAGCTCTGAATACGAAAATTTTTCAAAAATAATAATAACGATTCATAATTAATAATTAGGTTTGTTCACGTGAAAAATTACGAAACAATATTGAATATCATCACTATAATTTTTTATAGCATTATAAGTTTCTAAAAATGTCTTGGCTATAAATATATGAATAACAGTTCAAGGTTTTATTGAGATAATAATATTCGCGTTATTAAACATAACTGCTTTTCGATTATTATAGCTTACTAAATATCGTTAAAAACATAAAAAAAATTTAACAGATATTAATTTTATTTCATGTAATATGATAACCATATGCAAGTATAAATTTTGTTCTTAAAAAGTTAGTTAACAATTAAAATTTACTGTGTAGAAAAATAGTTACTGCATCTATCTCTAATTTTTCATATTTTACGGTAAAAATTATTGTTTTAAATATTAAGTGAGCAATAATTTCCAACATTGGATTAAAATGATTTTTTTTATTATAAAAAAATTATTTAAAATTAAAAAAAAAATAACAATTTTAATACAATGTATGTGCATGTATATTTAACATAACTGCTGTTATGATAATTATCTTATCAATTTAAGTTTATACGTATCAAACAACTAAAATATATTCCTTTAATATAATCCAATAACGAGTTTATAGATTTTTTGAATAACTTATTATTATATAATATTGTACACTGCTGTTTTATATATACTACGAGATTAAGATTATGGCTAAAATTCAATCAGCATGTCAGAATGTTGATTTATAAATATGCAAAATGTTCAATTCAACTATGGAAATGAATATAAATGACGTAACATATGGATAAATAGTTGGAGTTATTGAATAATCTGTGAAAAATCATCGGGGTTTTTCCAATCACGCACATATTTTATTTTGAATCTTATTTCAACAAGTTTTCAACCGCAATTATAATTAATAAGCTCAAGTAACCTTGACTGGTGACGATTAATGTTTACGTTTGATAAGCAAGTCATTGATAAATTACAGGTTTGATTCATCGAGGTATATCACAAAGTGGAACTGCTTTGTGCCCATGGGTGCTAACTCGACCTGGCGAGGCTAAAGACAAATCCAAACGTCTTGGCGAATTATTGAAATGCCCAACAGATAATTCTGCCCAGTTAATTGCTTGTCTTCGTAAAAAAAAGGCTATCGATATAATTGCTACTGATCGAGCGTACCAGGTTTGTTTGGAAGAAATATTGAGTACATCTACACTATTTTCTTTAACGATGTATTAATGCAATGTGACTTTAATTAGATCTATAAAGATCTATATAAATTACCTATTAAATTAAATTGTCTTATATATCGGGCAATAAATTTTTCTTGCTCGATGATACGCAGTGAAAAAATACTTTTCGCAATCCTGAGTAGAATTTAAAATTATGAAAGCATTATTACATCTCAGTACTCAATATTTTTATGACCATTTACTTTTAAGTTATTTTATGTCTTAACTATATATCCGCGCGACATGTTGACTACTTAATACCAATCATTTATTAGAGTAAGTTAATTTCTACATTCTTGTTGGCATGTGAACTATTAAATTAATAACTTCATGAATTTTTTGGTCGTTAGACGTGATAAATAAGCCATACATTCATCCAATCATTAGTATAGGATCTAGAATTAAGTAATAATACTACGACGAAACTATTAAATTTTATTCTCTTAATTATGTAATGAGTGAAATGAATTGCTAATTTAATCTAGGGGAATTTCTAAGATGTAGTACATTACATATCAATTAAAAAGTTAATGCACCATAATATAAATTACTCAATACGTGTTTGCGATAGAAATATTGAAAAGCAGTTTTTTATTATTATACTTAAATTTTGACATGTATAAGGGTGTTATTTATTTTTCAAAGTATGTGAAATAACGTAGGAAAATTTTTGTTTTTTAATTTCATCTAATTTTTCTAGCTGACTAATGACGCATCATTAAAAAAATCTACAAGTATATTATTGTAGAAAATTGAACCATCTACAAAGATGTCCTTTAAAATGTTAATCCGAGTCGAAAAAATGAACTTACATGAGCTTAAATCAATTGTTCTAGTATAGCAGTTAAGTTCATTTAAGTTAATTTTTTCAACTCGGGAAACATTGCAATTTTATATGAAATTATTCATTCAGGGTCAAAGTAAAATTTACTTTTTTTATATATGAGAATTTTTTTTATATCTAAGCAAATTTTATTTACTTATTTGATTTAATAATATTAGTTTTCTTTTATAAATACTAAAAGCGAATATGCCCTTATTAAACACTTAAAAATTAAGAATATATGTTTTTGTTTAAAAATGAAAATTTTATTAACAAAAAAAATTTTTTTCTGAAAAAATCACTAAGTTAAATTGAAAATTATGTTTTACAGATTTTTGATTATGATCCAATGATTCCATTCAAGCCGGTGGTCGAACCAAATCATCCAGGAGCATTTTTGAATGAAGAACCAGCCGAGTCTTTGAAAAATGGCAATATGGCTGATATTCCATGGATAACTGGATTCAATTCAGAAGAAGGAACACTCAAAGTCGCAGGTTTTTAAATACATATCAAATTGTTAAGTTGCGTGTAAATAATTAATTACATTAAATAATTTTTCGTATTATATTTAGGTCTTTATGGGCTCAAAGAAAAGGGTTATGTTAAGCAGCTGGATGAAAACTTTGTCGAATTAGCAGCTACTACACTATTGTACGAACATACATGTCCCAAGGAATCTCATAAAGATGTTGCTAAAAAAATTCGTAAATTTTATCTGGGAGATAAACCCATTGACGAAAGTACCAAGTTTCAAGTTATTGATGTACGTATTAATTAAATCTACAAAAATAGCTTTCAAAGATTGAAAAAAAAATTAACAATTAAAGTAGATGGAAGATTTAATTTAAAAGCAATAATTTTGAAAATTTTTGAAGTACCTTGATTTTTCGTATCATTATTGATTTAACAAGTATAAAAAAAAAATCACCTTACAATCACGAAAAACGTTTTCAAAGTATAAATTATTCTCGTTATGATGGTCTGTAAAAATCTAGAGTCGTGCACGTTGGTGCAGAAATAAATTTGAAAATATAACTACTTTTCTATTCATAATTGTTTTTAAATTTTACTAAAAATTAACTCAGTAAATGTCATTGGATGTGAACAATCAACTTTAGGTAGTTTACTATTTGAATTATTTATATTCAATGAAAGATTGAAAATTACATTCAGCTATCTTTAGCTTCAAACGATGCATATTGAAATTTTTATTATTCAATTTTATTACTTTAAATTAGAAACCAAAAGCTGTTTTTCATAATTTAAAAAGTTTTGCGTAAGTTAACCAATTTTTACCGAAATTTTTTTTATGAAAAACTTTTTATAGATTGGTTGACTATAAATGTAGTAAAAGGAAAGTTGACAAGAAAAATTTGAAACAAAAAGTTTGATTGCAACAATAAAAAACTAGATTAAAGAAGTATAAATTTTTATCTTTATCACATAAATAATACGGCTGCCCAATTTCAAAACACAGTAACTAACATTTAAAAATTTTTTTCAATTTTTCTTATTAAAAAAAAGTTTGCCTGCCAAATTAATGACAAATTTGATTTATGAATAGAAAATACTCAAATATAAATATTTTTAAGAAAAAATACTTGAAATTAAGGTTTAAAAGTTATAAAAAATGCAGCAATACTAAAAAAAAATCAGGTATAAAAATTTTGCAGTTACTGTGTTTTAAAATTGGGCAGCCGAATATTTGACAATAATTTGTGATTGTATACTTAGATGTACTCTGATGCTTGGTTCAATGTTGGAGCTGATATGGCTGTTCGAGACCATCTCAACACATTATCTAGTCCAGTTTACTATTACTACCTTACGTACAAAGGAAGTTCATCATTTTCAAGAATATTCGGCGCACCGCAAGGAGATTATGGCGTTTCTCATGCCGATGAATTGCAATATCTCTTCCCAGTTGGAGAACAGTTGTTCAAAGATACACCACTCAATAAAGAAGATCACAAAATGATTGATGTACTAACACAACTGTGGTTTAATTTTGCCAAAACCGGGTAATTAAATTTTTTGTGTAATTTAACTTCAGCAGATAATTAAGTAATTTTCATCTTTACAGGAATCCTACACCTTCAATTACGCAACAGATACCTCTAAAATGGAAGCCAGTGAGAACTGAAGCACTCGAATATCTTCTCATTTCAGATTCTAAAAACTTAAAAATGTCGAAAAATCTTTTGAAAGAAAGAATTGATTTTTGGGCAAGTATACCACACCGTGGTAATGTTATTACTTCGAACAAAATAACTCATTCCAAAGATGAGTTATAAAGTAATTAACCAACCGATGGATGTACAAAAGAGATAATTTTAATATTTGCTAATAATATCCGATATTATAAAACCTGCCAATCCAATAAATGGTAAAATGTATGAATGTAGCGAAAATGTAAACAAAAAAAAATAATCAATAAGTATTTGATTGCTTTCAATAACAGTTTTTTACACTAATTTAAAAAAAAAATTTTGTAACAAAAATTAAAATTATTGTATAAATATAATTTTGTTAAACCGTGAATATGGTTATAGCTATAATTACTGACAATAAATATAAGTAAAGTCCAAGATCCTACTGCGTAGAGTTTTGCTAGACTTTCACTTGTAGCTTAAGCAAGTTGACCTTATACAGAAAAAAAATATAGTTATATAATACTGATTAATTCGAAACAGATATCAATAATATTTTTGTGTTCTTTAATATAAGTGTCAAACTTCAGTTTAATTAAATAAAACAATCAATAACCGATTTTTCTGTATTGACGTTAATTTAAAAACATATTTCAAATTAACAGTTTTTATTATGGATAATCTTATGCGGCATTCAAGTGTTCAACAAGACAAGACAATTGATATTGAGGAACAAATTAGTAATCCTATACAATGGCCTGCCCCGGAATTTTGTCAAATTTTGGATTTAAAGAGTTGCCACTACGATGATGTCTTACGTTTAATAAAGGTTTAATTTAATTAATGCAAAGAATACAGTGTATAATTAAATTAATAGCATCATTTTATTTCAAATGATCCCATGTTCAAAGCTGTTGATTTTTCAAAAGACGCAGTTTCCGTAATGAATTATTTAGATTTTGTTCGTATATGGATGAAAGATTCATTGAGTTTGGTTGCTCTCAGTTCCAAATCAGGACGAATAATTGGAGCAGTAATTATGAGATTGAATAATTCATTAGAAAAAAGTAACACGTACTCACGAATGCGAGTTTGTTAATTTTTACATATGTTTCTCGATAATTTATAAAGTTATTGCAAGAATGTTTAGTTTAAAAATTGTATTAATATGTTTTAGATATTTCAAGGCGAAGCTTTAGAAAAAGTTATTAATTTGCAAAACACGATTGTCAAACAAATTAATGCTTATGAAAAGTTGGGCTGTGATATGACTTTACGTATTTATATTATATGCGTTCATGAGAGTTATCAAAGTAAAGGATTGGAATCTATTCTTTTAGAAAATTGCATTAGGATGGCAATAACCTCGAAAATTTTAGCAGTTGTTGGAATTTTTACGTCCACCGATAGTCAAAAGCTGGCTGAGAAGTATAATTTTAAAGTCTTAAATGAAATTCATTATGGTCGTTGGATCGTTGATGATGAGATTGTATTTATTAATCCGGGAATGGGAAATTACTCTGTCGCTTTTATGGGAACGCTTACATCTGCTGTGGATTATCTTATTGAGTCGTAAGATATTGAAGAAAAAAAAAGGTCGATATTCATAAGCTCTTATAAACAGTAAAAAGTGTATTCTAAAATATATGGATTGGTTAGAGAAATCCAAAGAAATTTATTCAATTCAAAGTTATAATTCTGATTTATCAAGAATACGTTTTTTCCTTAAATTCAAAGTTCAAAATTTTTCGACTAAAAATAAAAGATTGTTCTTAAAAAGTCGAACAAATTTTTTACCTATGAAAAAAAATTAACAATTTGCTTGAAATCTCTAAAAGAACGGAATTTTGATCAATTTAGATTTTTAGTGAAAATTTCCAAATTGTTAATAAAAGTAATTAACGTATGACAGTTTTTAAATGATAAAAAAAATTTTAATTAAGATCAAATTATCTTGAAAACTTTTTAAATTCTGGTGTTAATTATCGGCGGTCATATCACTTGTTTTATCGGTTTTAAAACTATGTATTTTCAAATAAAAATTTTTTTTTATTCGTTAATGGTTTGGTTCCTAATTTTTAAAATTCTACAAATTTTTTTTATAATAAAAACTATGTTCTTTTCTCTCTTTCGCTTTGGTATCAAATGAAAAAATAATTCGATAGTTGTACTTACCAGGCCATCGGTAATATTGTTGATAATCTCCCATGTAATAATATATCATCTTGAATTATTCGAGTTGATAACCGACGTTACTACAATCGATAAATGTCAATTACTGTTCTTCAAAAATTGCCTTCACTGTATAAGAAAATTCGTTTTTAATTGCCATCAAAATTTTAAAAAGTTATAGGTTATGATTTAAAAATTTTTCTACTTATTTTTATAACAAAGATCAATGTAAAATGAGCTACCAGGTTGCAAAATTGACCAGGTAATAATTAATAAATTAAAAATATTGTTTTTAATTATAGAAAAAAAAAGTTATTAAATTTTTGAGACAGGTGAAACAAGTTTTTATGTTTATAGATGCTTACCTTTGATAAGTAAAATTTTCCATTCAACATATTTTGATCTTGAAATCAACGATTTCTTCCACGATTTTATAATCAGATTTTACTTTGAGTGCTTATTAAAAATAAAAACAATTTAGGCGAAATACTAATAAATTATGAAAATAAAGTTTGCCGACATTTAAAAATTTTTTGTTGGAAAAATTTCAATTAAACAATTAAAAAAAAAAATTGTCACATGTAAAAAACTTGAAAAACTATAAGTGCAATTTTTTATAAATATTTTTTTAGCTGTAATTTAATTAATAAAAAAAATCAAAAATTTTTAGACGTCTGCTAACTTCAGTGTCATAATAAATTAGAATATTACACCAACATGATTCGACATCTTGTAATTTTATACAAACCGATAAAATATTGTTGAGTTTTCATTAAAAAAAAATAAATAGACATTCAGTATTAAAAATTCTTCCTATACAAGCAAAAAATTTTCAGAACACAAATTTACTATTTACTATTTTCAACATAATATCATAAAATATCCGACATTACATCTGCTACGCAGTTAGTTCACTTGCACTTTTTACATGTACCTGAGCTGGATAACGAACGTAATCATTTCTTTGCGTGTATATTATTGTTGTGGAGAATGTCTCTAGAGTGTCGATTGTTGAGTGAGGCGTTCGTTGAATACCGCGAACGGTTGCTCACAGCGACTAAGAGATGGCGGTGAGCTCTCGTTTTATTTGGCGGTTGTAGAGTGCGGGAAGATCACGCCTGCGCACAACTCGAAAGCATGCGCGAGCTGCGGGCGAGACACATCCCATCAGTGCATGGCGGTCCGAGGCTCACCGAGCATTATTGTTTCTCATTCTCATCTCATGTGATTATTCCACGTTATAATTAGTACTGTCCGACTTGTGTTTGCCGTTTAGTTGTTTCATAATATTATTATATTTATATGTTGTTTCAGTTTTACTACAACCTAATAAATAAACATTATTGAATTAACAAGTGTTAAACGATTTTTTTTTAAAGTGACAGTGAGAAGGCTGACGAAATTAAAGACAGGATTCAAGGAATTATTATTTATCTGCGCGGTGAGTCAAATCTTTTGTCTCTTTTTCATAATTAGTATCGTTAAACTGAGAGATGCGCATCTCAAGATACTCCAAGATAATTTCATGTCTTTGCTTATATTTAAGTACCAATAAAAAATAAAATATAAATTGTCACAATACACTCAAGTCGTTTAAAGGTACTAAGTATGTAATTCAAGTTGATATTATTTATCTGACGTTTATGAGTCTTTTCATCTTTGCATTTTATGATACTGAAATCAACAAATTCTCCCCATTTTTTTTTTTTTAATAATAAATTAAAACTAACAAAACTTTTTTATGAAATTCCATTAATAGTTTTTTTTTTTAATTTCAACATTAAAATTTTAACTTCCCGCTAAGAAAATAAAAAATTTTCGAAAATCGGGAAGTTATTGGTTTTACCCCGTTTTTCGAAAATCGAGTTTTCATCAGATCTTGACGTTTTGAGGTCCTAAGAAGCTTCCATGACTATTTCTGCGATGGTTCTGCATGTATGTATGTATGTGCGTGTGTGTACACTGATAAAAATATTAACTTGACTCAAGAGCAAAAATCTTGAACCAAGAACACCAATTGGAAGAAAATGAATTTCTTGAGCCAAGAGGAAAAATTCTTGAGTCAAGATAGATTCTCTTGAATTAAGAAAATATATCTTGACCCAAGAATTTTTCCTCTTGGCTCAAGAAATTCATTTTCTTCCAATTGGTGTTCTTGGTTCAAGATTTTTGCTCTTGAGTCAAGTTAATATTTTTATCAGTGTACACACACGCACATACATACATACATGCAGAACCATCGCAGAAATAGTCATGGAAGCTTCTTAGGACCTCAAAACGTCAAGATCTGATGAAAACTCGATTTTCGAAAAACGGGGTAAAACCAATAACTTCCCAACTTTTGAAAATCTTTAACTTTCTTAGCGGGAAGTTAAAAAAAAACTACGTGAAATGCCACAATTTAGATAAAAATTAGATAACTCGTTCAAAAGATATATTTGCATACCAAACGTTTTCAGAGAAGCTTTCTTTAAAAATTAATTCATTGAATAAGAGATTTTTTTCGATTATTGTTGGTATAATAATACAGCATGATGTTCAAGTATCGCATTGAGTTTCTTGGTCTCCTAGCCTAATGCAGTGATCCAAAAACATATAATATTTTTCCAAAATTTTATATTATTTCCAGAGCTCATTCGTTTTAGCAGAGACTAATTTCTTTAACCGTCTGAAGGTTTTATCTGAATTTTTATTTTCTCGAATTTCGTGGTCCAGCCGACGGTGTCATAATCATTCTTAATTACTCCATAATGAAACTTATTATAGCTTCTAAATGACGTCAATTTTAATTTTAAAGACTTTAACATGCCTTTCTTGAAAGGAACAAAATTCGCAAACATACGCCACCTTCCGGGACCTCAGAAGGTTCATTTCATGCTCCATAACTTGAAATTTCCTTTCGAGTTATCGAAAACTTTTTAAATTCTGGTAATAGTAATTATAAATTTTCAAAAATTCGGAAAACAATTAGC